ATTGCATATTCATTGCAGAAAAAGTACTAAATGGATAAGAGGCGCTATTTAGCACGTTTTAAAGACCAAATCCTTTTAGCATGCTGTTGATAGATCAGTTTGTACGTTTTTTAGCGTGCGCAGTGAAATAGCTCACGTTTTTATACACGCAAACCTTTGATAGATCCAGCCCTAAATGTTACTGGATAACAATAAGTGATTTCTAGTCATGTGGAAAATGTTTCATATATATATATATATATATATATATATATATATATATATATATATATATATATATATATATATATATATATACGCTTGTCCCAATTGGGGTCGCGAGCGGTGCTGGTGCCTATCTCCAGCAGTCAATGGGCAAGAGGCAGGATACACCCTGGACAGGTTGCCAGTCCATCGCAGGGCAACACAGGACAAACAACCATTCACACACACACTCACACCTAAGGACAATTTAGAGAAGCCAAATAACCTAACAGTTACTAACAGAGAACCCACGCATGCTCAGGGAGAGCATGCAAACTCCATGCAGAAAGACCCTGGGTTGGAAATCGAACCCAGTTCCTTCTTACAGCAGTGCTACCCACCGCGCCACTGAGCAGCCCTTGATGATTACAATTTACGGTAGCTGTATTTGATCAGCGGATGCTATTTTATTTATTAAATGTTATTCAAGCAACATTTTCCATCATATCTATAATTTCCTTTATTTTATTTTATACTATTGTGATTTGAAAGCATAGTTATCACAGGTTAACTTTCATTCCTCTCTGCTATAATAAGTTATCCAAGTTTTATTTGAAAAAAAAATAAATAAATAAATAAATAATAATCAACACAATATTTGATGTATCTATGGATACATTTTGAACCCACAACTGAAGACAATCACACAAAGTATTAATCACTTAATAATTTTCCATGCAGGTTCATGCCGAGGAAATTTCTGGAAACAATGGGTATGTGGAGCTCTCCTTCTGTGCTAAGAAGCTGGATGATAAGGTGAGAAGAACCACACTTGTGTTACTAAATATAGATGGAAAGCCCTTTGGATCATAAGAGCTCAGATAAAATTGCACTCTTAATGTCTTGCTGTCTTGTGATATTGACCACTTTTCCGTCAACAGATAACAGTCAGAATGGATTGAAAATAACAGGATTATGACAGTATGAATGTCAACACAACAATCTAACATACAAATGAAATTACAACCCAACGCATGATGTCAAAAAGGAAATATGTTTTTCTTCTGTCATCTTAAAGCAGGATGTTATTGACCCCAGCTGCTCTGGTCCACAGATGTTCAAACTATCTGCCCAAGGCACATTTCAATCAAAAAGACAGCAGGGACCTTACATATACTTACAATTCTGATTATCTCCAGTCACATTGTGTTCTCTGGAGAAGGCCTTGGGAGAGCGGTTGCATGGGGTGACCTTGATTCGTCATGGCACAGACAGCAAGACAGCAGGTGCATTTAGCTTTGAAAGTGCAGCAAGAAATTTGCCACCGCTCTGACAGCTAAATCGTCTTGAACTCTGAACTGAGCAATTATTATTCAAGCCTTCCTGATAGTCCAACATTTCCTTTAAGGAAAGATGCTGTGAGATGCTTGAAGAATTCTGCTTCTCCTGTTGTGTCAAATATACCCCTAAAACACGGGTCCAACTCATTAGGTTTTGGCTCATTAGGCTCATGCAGTTTCTTTCTGGTTAACACACATGCCATGCTATGTGTTCATTTAAATTAAAGACCAGATCTACTACACATAATTTATGTATCTGTGCAGACTAGTCATCAAAAAAACTAAATGTCAGTAGGGAGTGTTGATTTCAGGAAGGACAGAGTCAACGCTTTTTGAGCTTGTTCTGCTGCAAAGTGTGATTTTTAAGAAATCTGTGCAATTTGTTAGATAATAGCATATTAGGTTAGAGAAGAAGGAAGGAGAGAAGAAAATGTCAGATTGTGACTAACAAACTCTTTTATTTATGCTCTTTTAAGGCTGTTTTATCTACTGAAAAAATGACCTTGTCATTTTTAAATAATGTTACAGCTCAATTGTGAACAAGTACATGCTTGTCACTATCACTTTGTCCTCCAGTTTCACAGCAGTAGCATAGTGTGATGGTGTAAACAGTAAGTTAAAAGGGAGAGGATCAGACCAAACGGCAATGCTGAAACAAGAAGGAAAGGACAGTCAGCCAAATGTAATGTAAAAACAGGTAAAACATGTGACATCTAAAGTTCAACGACCACTTAGAAACACTTTTTTCTATGGTAAATGTGTTTTACTTTTACAGGTTTTAAGAGTAAAATATGTATAATACAGCTATTTGAGGACATTATTTCTCTTGGTAGCCATTTAAAAAATAACCTGTTGAATAGAAACTCTATTCTCCACTTTATTCCTCCAGGTCAGCCAAGGCCATGGGCCACATCCGACCCGTGATACGATTGCATCTGACCCATGAGATCATTTTATATATCTATTATTAATGGTTAGCTGAACAGTTATATAGTCTACTGCCAATAACAAAAACAACTGCTAGAGCTACTTGCTCCTAAAGACAAGGATGAGCACAAGCTGTGCTTGCTGAAGAGTCAGATGGTGAGAGAAATGCTACAGCACTTGGATACCAAGAAGTTAAAAACAAAGTCATTTCCACTTTGTTATTAAATGCAAATTCTAAAGATAAAACTGAACAAGCTGAGCAATGAGTTCACATTATGCATGATTGTTTCTGAGGTATAAAAAAAAGAAGAAAGAAAACAAGCAGCGGTTCTATAATCCACTCGCTTTTGATTAGGAGTGCATCTGCAAACAACATGTAGAACTGCAGTGGCACATAAGGCTACGACCCTTCAAGATGGTGCATGGAAGCTACTCCAAATAATTCATTGGCCCCCCAAATAGTAATTATTTGTGTTACTCGGCTGTTCAAATTTATATTGTGTTTAAAGCACCACTGCTTCACTTCATGAATAAACATTAATCATGTTTGGCTTACTTTGTCTAAAAAATGGTTTATATCAGAAAAGTTAATATTTCTAAACAAATATGGCACAAAAAGTTTTTCATTGATTTCATATAAAATACTCTTTGTTCCTGATGTTATTTTTCTCGCTACTGGAGATGGTGAATTGAGTTTCACACTCAGACTTGATTTGCATTTAAGTTGCTCAATTAAAGACTCAATTGAAACTTCTGAGCTAAAGATTAGAGACTTAACATAACTGTCTTAAATAACCAGGAATGCCAGGTGGCCAGTATGTAAGCTCGCTCAGGTTGCTGCTGCACATATTTTGGAATTAAATGGTTAATTTATTATGCGGTAATGCTTTGAGATTTCTTGAATTTTAATGGTTTTGAAAACTCTGATAATGTTAGCTGCAGCTTAATCATATACATAATCACTATGATCACAAAGATTTTAGAAAATAAAGTATACAAAATTAAATTGGCAAACACTCATGTGTTAAACTGGATTTAAGGACAAATGGTAGAGGATTTGTTTTCCCTGACCCACAGCTGGGCAGTGTTATAGGAAATATAGATGGCGTGAATTTCAATTAAAAAAAAGAAACAATTTACTTCAATGATAGGAGACATGAGGGGGGAGATCTGCATGATACAAAAATATTCAGGGGCAAATTCAAAAACCCAATGGTGTAAACTGAATATGTGCAAACCAGAGGTTGTGAGTCTTTCTTAATTATCATCTGTTCATAAAACATGTTCTGTTCCTAAAAAGTTATACTGAGCAAACCTCTGCCCTAATGCAGTTTGCACAAATTTAAACCACTGTTTAAATATTCATTTTAGAGAAGATTCCTGCATATGTCTCCACATTTCTGTAAATTGTCGCCAAAGCAAAATGCTTTTGTTTGTTTAATGGCTCAGAGCTGTTTGGTCTCAGATTATCTGGTGTTTTAATACTAAAACCTAAACAAAGTCGACCTTTATAATAGTCCTGGCTTTAAAAAGAGAAGACAGGAATGTCAGAAAAGAAAGACGTGATCTTCTCAGCCCATTAAGTGTTGGTGATATTTTACCAAACAGTTTTTCTAATCAAATTAATTGCCTAAACAAATAAAGTTGCTTTGCTGCATCATGACAAAAAAACAGTTCAAGAGTTTTTCACATCCAGTGGTTAATAAAAAACTGATGTTGTAAGGGTTTAGATAATTTTTTTTTTTTTTTTTTGTCAGATCAATGCCTGGTAAAGCTCTCTTTGTAGATTTTTTTTTCTCAGTTTGATCATTTCTGAAAAACAGACAATTTGAATCTGATGCAAAAATATGTGATGAATACCTGTATCGGCTGGATTAACGGGAATATCTGCATTTTTCTCAAAAATGCAGTTTAAATCTGGTACAGAAATAAACCACAAAGCCTGTGCATTGCATTGCTTCGTCAATTGTGTTATATCTATAGTAAATATATAATAGGCAGTTAGTTGATAAATAGTACTTGAAAGAATACAGGTCTGACATAAACTACTTGCAAACGTCTAGATACATAATGTGTACAAATCTTGATTTCAACACAGGAAGTTTTTTTTCAGTAAAATGAACTGAAACTGAAGAAATGATGAACTTTGCTTTGATAACATTTGGTTCCTCTCTGGAAACAGAAAGAAATGACTCAGAATATCATTATTTCTTCTCAAAGTTAAGGGAAAACAGCTAGTTTTAAAGAAAATACTTTTAACTCTGTGAAAGTGAGGCATTTTTTCTGTGAAATTAAGAAACAGACAGATATGCAAAAAAAATCTGTTTAAAAGGCACTTCTACTGAAAAACCATTACATTATTTAAACTCAAATCTTAAATTTACAGTAAATATCTGTTCTAATGCTGTAAATGATTCAATAGCTTAATAAAAGTGTGAAGTTTTAAAGGGAGAGTATGTGAACCTTGAAGATGAGGTTCTAGAGACACATCTGTTCTGCAGCTGGTCCCACTCTGTTGGGTTAGAAAGAAAGAAAAGGCAGCCACTGAGTGATTGTTGTCCCTTACCTAAAGAGTCCTTTTTTTAATCGGGTCACACTGGTAATCCTGTCTGAAGAATGAAGGTAAACAATGAACTTGGGCTCAAACCTGTTTGGTTTGTCAATTATTTTGTGCAGCATATCCATTCTGACATACTCATTAATGGTAACGCAGTAGACATTTCTCTAAAAGGGCTATTAATGACCAGACACTTAATCTTTCCCTCTTTCCTCAGATATGTTACTTCATCCTGTAAAAAAAATTATGCATTTAATATGTGCTGGAGTTTAATTATAGATTATGGTAACTTCTAATGATTAGCATTAATGTCATGTTAACCAGAGATTAAATGACATGCACTTCACATCGGCCCCTGGAGCAGAGGCCCAATGGCTACTGGTTGCTATGGCAACAAAACAATAACATTACAGCTCAGCTTTTTTATTTTTTTACTTTTTTTTCCAGCCTGTCCCTCAGGAGATGTAGCTGGCTAATGTGGCGGGAAATGCATCCTTAACTGTCTCCTGGCGTGTACATCCATGTGCGGCAGCCACACAAACATACACACTGACGTACAAAACTGTAATTGTTTGCTGTCCTCCTTGAAGAATCAATTGACCTAAATAATCCATGTAGCCGTTGCTCTCAGTTGCCTTGCAGACAAGATAATAAAAGGCTACCTCAAATAGTAATGAAGCCTGCTAAATGTGTAATGTTTTTATTTGAGCAATATAGTTTTTATACATGCATTGATAATCTAAACCACATCTAGTTAATTTCATTACCTGGGGCGTGATGACATATGTAGGAAAATCTCCACTAGTCAATTTTTAATACTAAACCTTTAAATTGAGGCTCTTTTAAAAAAGAAATGCAGCAACTAAAAATAACATAAACCTGCTCAAATTTAACTTCAATTAAACCCTCATGATGATTGGTTCAATAAGGTCTACTTTCAGTGCCATATTGTGCAGATCCTCTGAAGCAAGAAACTCTCAGATTACAGCCAGTTTATCTTAAAATTTCTCTTTTAGAGCACATGGGCTATCTGAAAAATTCTAAAGAAGGGTTTGGATCAGGAAATTAGTTAACAGCCATTTCTGTATCTTGAGATTCAGATAAAAATGATCAACACCATCTCTTAAATTTAACAAGTTTGTCCTTTGCTCTGGCTTTAACCCTCCACAGAGTTTCATGATTTGTAGTGCTGCTGCTTTGTTAAGATGCCTACATTTAGAGAGACTGCAATTCTCAACATAAGAGGGGAAAAGCTTTTCTTCCAAGCAACAGTCTGTCAAACTACTTGAACTGTATGAAATATGCTGCAAATGTAAGTTTACATGTAATACACTGGAAAAAAATAATGCAACCGCTTTTGGCATTTACTTTACTTTTGTCCTACCCTGAAACAATTGTGTTAAAGTTACTAAATACAATCAAGTAAATGCCAAAAATGGCTGCATTATCTTTTTGAGTGTCATTTGTTGCTTTAAAAAAGGATTTCTGTGTTTAATACAAATAACAGGACTAGCAGTTTTCTTGTATCTTCTGTCACAGGACCTGTTCAGCAAGTCAGACCCATTTTTGGAAATATTTCGAATGAACGACGACGGAACTGAACAGCTTGTCCACAGAACCGAGGTAGTTACTGTATTTTTCCTGCATCTAACTTCAAAGTTAACCCTGCAGCTAAGAACACCGTAACTTTTCAAATAAGGAATCACAATGATTCCCTGACAATTTTATAAATATTTAAAAAGTCGGTATGTTATTGCGAGTACCCTGTGTGTAAAGCAGACAGTTTATTGTTTTTGTTCATATGTCATGAAAACAGTTATGAAGTCTTTTAGTAGTCAACACCTTATGTGTGGGAAAACAGTCCTCCGCTTAGGGGAAGGGTTTGAAAGCTGTTTTTGTTATCCGGGTTCTGATGAGCTGTCGTCCTCATTCAACAGGTGATCAAAAACAACCTGAATCCAGTGTGGGAGCCCTTTAAAGTGTCACTCATATCTCTGTGCAGCTGTGACGAAGAGCGCAAACTCAAGGTAAGACTGCAAAAGGGAAATCTAAATGTCCACAAATGCACAATTGAAACTGTGTTCTTGATTGACGTTTGATGGTATAATATGTTTGCACTGGCCGGCAAAAAAAAAAAAAGACTCTGCATAATGATTCATAATGATTTGTTATGTTTATCAAATATTGAAAACATTGACAGTCAGTGCATTATTGTAATTATTAGAGCTCATTTTTTCGAGCAGTTATTGCACCAGTAGCTAAAACAGGCCCACATTAAAACAGCCCACACTTGATTGCCCAGTAAACGCCCAGCATAATGCCTGCATCCATCAGTCTGCTGCTCTTGTAGGCACAATCTAGATGCATAATCTTTTTAATTTTTTTTACTTTATATTTCTCTGTTATTTTGACATGATAAAACCAGATTTTTTGCAACTATTGTCTCTCTTAAGATGTTCATTTAGTGATCTTTTTAAATAGTTTTTGTTTAACATTAGAAAACTTGTATCTCATTTAAATGACTGTTTCCTTAGGTTTCTCAGTTTGTACTGATTAAGACTATACTTACTAGACTATAACACAATAATTTTAATTTGTATTCAAAATAAATTGAATAAACATTGACCATAAGGTGTTGCGTAAATCCATTGTGAGATTTAGGTATGTAGCATATATGGTTTTCCTTCAAAAGAAAAACTATACCCAATGCCCATTTCCCCTCCTTTCGTAAGGGTTTAATACAAATCAAATAAATGTGTAGTTTTTAAATGTATACACGCAAATGAGAACATAAGCACAGGTTTTTAAGGCATCACCAATCAAGCAATAGTCTGTTATATAAATGTGTGGTATATGTGTGCCATTTCATGATTGCTAAGCTATTCACTGCATAGGTTCTGCCTTTCTTTCTTTGGTCTTACAGTCTACCATGTAATTACTGTATATTCAGAGCCAAGCTAAGGGAATAAACAGTGTTTTTTTGTTTACCATAGTGCCTAGTGTGGGATTATGACTCCAGAGGAAAGCATGATTTCATCGGCGAGTTCTATGCCACATTCAGGGAAATGCAGAAAATTTCCAGTGGAAATAAGGTCAGTGAATTCAGAGGCAGAATGGGATCAGAGTAAATTAAAGGGGAGTCGGCTGTTTAACTGCTTAATTTATTTCTGACATGCTTCTCACCTGCTAAAATCTTTCTGACACGGACCAAATCTCCCAGTGTTTTTATATCATTAGAATGAAAAACTCTGTTGCTTTTCTTTTCATTTTTTATGTATTTTGTCCTTAACTCAATTTGCTGAAGGTTTCATGGGATTGTGTGAATCCTAAGTACAAACAGAAGAAGAGAAACTATAAAAATTCAGGAGTCGTCATTCTCAGCGACCTGAAGGTAGGAATCTATTGCAGAAACATATTGCATTTATCAAAACTATTAAGATGTAAGGCTAAATCTCTTACAGCCTGATCCTACTAAAAAAATGTTAATTAAAAAACTAATTCTTGCATTGTTATCTGTTAATCTCAATTAGTCAATCGAGTTCTATGTATAGTTCTGTTTAAGAACATCACTTCCTGTTGAAATAGGTGAATATTATGCTGCAGATATTAAAAATGTAATGAAACTCATCCTGAGGTTTGCCTGATGGAAATGTTCCATTGTTTTATTTTTCTCCTTCCAGCTCCACAGAGTCTATTCCTTCTTAGATTACATCATGGGAGGTTGCCAAATTCATTTTACGGTGAGCTATGAAATTTAACTAGCTGAAAATTTCACCCAGAATGGTCATATTTTCTGCAAGGTTATGGCAATTTAACAATAACTAAAGCTTCTCTTAATTATTGAAATAATTTGTTTTATTATTTAACAGCATTTTTTTTGTGCACAGCCCTAGTTTTGTTATTAGCACCCTCAGTGAAAAACAAACATTTTCCATTTTGTGACCTTTGCCCTCTGATCATCTTTGTCTTCTTCTGTTGTTTGAAGAATCAAACAGTATGAGAACCACTGTGGTGGAAGCAGCTACTTAATGCAACAGCTTGCCTGTTTATTCCATAGGAACTATAGATTCCTCAGTCTATGTGGGAGTAAAACACTGAAGTACTTTTCTTTGATTTGTTCTGATATACTCAAACTTTGTTTCTGGAAAAATAACTTTTGTAAGCAACAACCAAAAAACACAACTCTAACAGTATTCGGGTTTGTTAAACGACATTAATATTAATAGACCAACCGCCCTCATCAACGGACAGATTGCGATAGAATATTTATCAAAAAAAGTCAATTTCTGTAACTTCCTTACCTTATTCAGATTAAAATAGGTGTAACTGCAATTCAACTTAAATATTTTAAGAAGACTCAGAAAGTCTATTCAAGACATTTTTCATTGATATTAAGTTTACTATTAATTAAGAATCCCCCGACATGCTTCTCCAAAAGAGTACTTAATTTTGGTCCAAAACTGCTGCTTTGTTTACTGGTTCGTGCAGGTGATCTGGATTTCTTCATTAATTATCATGTTCTTTTGTGAGGAAAATCAATTGGATGTCTGACTAAACAGCTGGTTCTGTCAGCCTGGAGGTCACTCTGAGATTGAATCTTTGTTAGTTCAAGATTCACAGGATTTCTGAGGGTTACTCACTTTGATTACTAATTATTTGATATGAAAGGAAATACATCCACAAATTGAAGTATAAATAACAACTTTGCACAAGAAAAGATTACTGTACATGGCGTATAATGCAAAGAGGAATGACTAAACTGAAGCCTCCGCAGTTATTGGTTTATTTGCTGGATACCTCACACAATTCAGATAAACCAATCAGAAGGAACATTTGAAATACATCCCACTAAAAAGTACATTAAAAAATTATTCTACAGCTTTTTCCAAAATAATATTTTCTCTGCAAATATGTTACAATATGCTACAATATAAATTTTATGTTGTTAAATATAAGACAGTAACTATAGTTAGTTACTATACCGATACTGATTCGATTGCCTGTTAATTTCAATAATCTATTATTTAAATACTTTTATAGGAATGTTCATATAAGAATTATTTTGACATTGTGAGGGACAAGGCTAGTCAAGCACGATGACACAGTAATAATTGAGAAGAAACATTCGTTTTATTTCCTCAAAATAACAAAAATCACACAATGGTGTGACCTGAAACACCTATGCTAATATAACAAAAATAACTTAGTAAAGTTGATTAACTTAAATGACTAATAATGAAAAAACAACTACATAAGCAAATAAAAGCAAAGAGAACTTATGCAAAAATTAGAATAAAGATCCTATGATCTTCCACCATGGTGGAACTCCAGATGGCTTCCTCCTGTCAGTCAGCCAGTCTGGGATAATAGTGTGCCAGCCAGAATCCATTGCTTCAAACTAACCCCCTACAGCACCAGCAAAGAAAGCACAAAACATTTAATATGTGACAATATTATATATATATATATATATATATATATATATATATATATATATATATATATATATATATATATATAATGTAAACCAATGTGAGTGATAAAATTAACTAATTTGAATACTGTCTGATGAAAAAAAACTCAAAACCCATAAATTTAAGCTGCTATGATTTGTAAATGAAAACTCAAAGTGTGTGGGGGGTTATCGGCTGTGTGGCTGCATGTGTGGCCATCACAGACATTAAAAGATATTAAAGTAAAAAATGGCTAACTGACTTAGAAAAGTCAAATGCTTTTCATATATCAGAGATAGATATCCACCTGTAACTAATGGAAAGTAGAAGCTCCTTTAGTAAACCTCTGGTTCTATGTGTGCATCTTTAGAGGAAGGCTAATTTTGTCATATTTGTGACATACCTACTGAAAATTGTCTTTCTACCAGGTTGCTATTGACTTCACTGCATCCAACGGAGATCCAAGGAACAGCTGCTCTTTGCACTACATTAACCCGTACCAACCAAATGAGTACCTAAAGGCTCTGATAGCTGTTGGTGAGATCTGTCAAGACTATGACAGGTGTGTCAGTTTTTTCTAGCTTTTTGTTAAAGCTTTTTTTTATTGTCATTAAACTGCCACAAGTACAGAGCAACAAAATTAACTCTCTGCATTTAACCCATCCTCTTGGGGAGCAGTGGGCTGCCATAGAGTGGCAGTCTGTGGGAGTGGGGCTCGAACTCAGAACCTCAGGATTCCAAGCGCAATGCCCTAACAACTAGACCCCCACACCCCTGGTGATATGTCAAGCTATGATTTCTTAGACAATGCTAGTTAAAGCAACTCACCTGATTGAAGCTCGTTCATAGAGCATACAACATGCATGTAAACCACCGTAAAAATGACATTAGTGGAAACATTTTTTCTACCTACCAGTATGTGAATCAGCTATTACAGTTATTATAGTAAAATTATTTTTTCCTTCTTTTGCCTTCTTTTAGATCTTTTGAATGATTATTTGAGTTTATAACCTTTGTAGCTTAAACATGCACAAGGTTCATTTTTCTGCTTAGTATTGGATAATAAAGCTGCATTATAGAAGACTATAGAAATTAATATTGCCCTTCACTTTCATTAATTACAAATAATATTATCCTTATAAATGTACTTGCTTGAACTTGAGGACTACAAAAATTCTCACCTGATATTTCTCTTTTTTTGTGTTGTTCTTTGTTATTTCTCACTTAAATCACTCTTCAATCTTTCAGCTAAGAATAAGAAAATAAGACTGCTGGTTTAATTTGTTATAAAACACAAAAGCCCCAAAATCTCAGTAATATAGCAGATTAATGAGGTACAGGCAAGGCAAGGCAAGTTTATTTATATAGTACATTTTACTGGCAAGAAAATTCAAAATAAGAAATAAAAGAGAAAGAAAATAATATTTCAGCAAAATAAAGGGAACAGAAATAGTTAAAGAGAATAAAATATTAAATGATAAATAAAAGGTCAAATAAATAAAAATAAATCAATAATAATAATATAATAATTATAATATAATAATATGTTATTATATGAAAAACGATAAAGTGACCGATATTTTTTTGGTACAAAAGGGTTAGGAAAATGGAACATTAATAAAGATATTATGTTGGCTTCAAAATAGATTTTAGTTCAACTTTATCTAATAATTTTTAGATAGCACAGTCAAACTCTAAATAAATGTGTTTGTAATCTTGGTTTAAAGCAACTAAGAGCCGATGTTTGGCTCTGGTTCTACTGCAGGTTTTCAATGTACACTAGAGTCAGAAGACCTGAGAGATCTGGGCTTTAGATACACTGAAAGCAAGTCTGTTCTGCTGAGGACATGGGTAGCAGCATTCTGGATCAGCTGCAGCTGTCTGATCGAATTTTTAGGTAGACCTGTGAAGACAGTGTTGCAGTAATTAGTTCTGATGAACGCATTAATCAATTTTTCAAGGTCCTGCAGAGACATTTGTCTTTTAATCCTGGAGATGTCATTCAGAATTTAGAGGATGTCTTTATGTGTCTTTGAAGTTTCAGGTCTAAATCCATCAATACACTCAGTTTTCCTGCCTTCTTGGTGGTTACTGGCAATAATAAAGGTATAGTGGAGGAAGGCTTTTTTTTTTTCCCAGGTGGATTAGCAAAATAAGTGGTCCTCCTTATTGTCAATCATTCTGGTGATATATTTATGTAAGGCCATTCTACCATCTCATCCCCAGTTGCAAACAGCAACTTTTAAATAGAGCGTGCAAGACGAGAAATGAGCTTGTGCATGCTCTTGCAGGCATTTAATAGGCATTCCCACTCAGGAGCTTGTACAGGGTTGTGCATGTGCATGTTTTTTAAATGGTGTGGGTGGATCTTTTAAAAAATTTGTGAAAATCCTCCACTATACCTTTAAATGGAGCTGTGTGATAACTTTAGAACACCTCTTCATTTGGTACAAAAATATGACTTTAGTTTTTTTCTTGATATAGTCTTGATATAGCTGAAATAAGTTTTTCGCACATCAGACCTTTATTTTTTATTTGAATTTATGCAGTGCTTTATAGTCACCTGGTGACAGCATAATATATAGCTGTGTTGTCTGCTTTGTTATAGTAACTTCTTATAATCAGTATGGAGGGCATGTAGATAATGAATAAGAGGGGCCCTAAGATGGATCCTTGGAGAACGTCACATATGATTTTTGTGATCTCTGCTGTAAAGTTACCTACTGACACAATAAAAGCCCTGTCATTATAGGATTTAAGCCAAGCACTTTTATGAAAAGGGGGTCCAATAATGCTAGGACTGTGGTTCTTCCACACTCTGCATTTATAAGGATGTTACTGAACACCTTGACAAGGGGAGTCTCTGTGCAGTAGAGAGCACAGAAGCATGACTGGAAGACATTGAAGCAGCTGGTCATTGCAAGGAAGGTGTTTAGCTGAAACACAGCTTTTTCAACAATCCTACTGATGAATGGGATGTCTGAGGATAGGCCTGTAGTTCTGCAGTAGCAGCTGGTCCAACTTGCTCATTTTCAGCAGTGATTTGAGAGTGTTTATTTTTGAGTTAAATCAGAAGTTAGGAAAGGTAGAGCTTTCTTCAGGAAGGCTGTGGGTAAAACACCAGCAGGAGGAAAAGCTTAGATAGTGTACAATTTCTAGTTTATTTGTAGTTAATTGATCAAATTAGCCGATTTTGTTAAGATCAGTTCATTTTGCGGACTCTTTTGGAACTGGACTTGACTTCAATGTTCAGACTGCCGTCTAATCTTTTGGGTTTTTTCAGTGCAAAAATAGCAAAATCATTGTGTGCCCTGTTAGAGTAGCGTTCAGATGCTGCAGTCACAGGAGGGTTTGCTAGCCTTTCGACCGTGGCAAATAAGACACCAGCATTGCTAAAGTTTTTGATGATGATCTTAGAGATTCACCTCTGACTAGTAGAGCACTTTTCCCCAGAAACAACATTTCTTTTAAAAATAAAATCAATAATATCTGAGATTTTAGAATGCACATTCTATTATGCTTTTATTGTTCTTCTATTTTACTATTTAATTCATGAAAAGCAGTTCGAATAGAAAAAAAAAAGAAAATCAAAAACAGTCCATGGGACTTTTGTTTCCAAGTTTGAATAGGTTTCAATTACCATCCAAGAAGCTTTTTCAATTCAAAATGTGATTTTAAAAAAATTAAACCTATGAGTTAAACCAATGACCTGGATGACTGAGACTCTACACCAGCACTTTGAATTGTGTTTGTGATGAACTCTGCTATACAAATAAACTTGGCGTGCCTTACCAACTCTTCAGAAAAGGTAGAAGGGAAAATGGAGGTAGAGATGTAAGTGTGGTTAAAGATTTCAGTATCACCATCGTTGAAGATAAGTTTTCTTATGATGTCTCTTTGGCTAACTGAGTCATTGCAAATCATGCTTTTAAAAGTATTAGAAAGGTGTTCAGAAAGGGAATAAGACCTTTTTGAAATGTTTATGTTATTAGTGATAATCAAGTCCAAATTACATCTCTGTTTGTGCATTTCCTCTTTAGAATGTTGAGTTGAACCAAAGTTTCAAAGAGTATCATACCTCTATTGCACCTTTTAAAGGACAAAAGCCAGGACCAACATTGACTTTTTGGCAAAGAGAAAATAGGTAATATTTTTTTCAAGAAGTAAGTTGCATTTGACTGTAGAAGTATTTTTATTTGTTTCTTGATCTATTAGTCTTTTTATTCAATTAAGAGTTGGATGTTTTATGAACAAATTATGTGCATGCTTTTCTCACAGTTGTAGCTTTGAGCAACGGTTGCAGCGACTGAATCTCCATCCTAGTCTGCAGAGGCTCATTACTCCCTACTACAGATGAGATAGGGTCTGACACCAGCATAGCAGCCACTTCAGACAGAAGTGGGAGGCAAGGAAAAATCAGCAGGGTGTCAGATCTGATGTGAAGACAGACGAGAAGCTGGATGAAGCTGAATATGTCTGCATGTGTATATTTTATATTTAAAACAACATCAAATTGGTTATTGGTTAATATTATTCATTAAATAGTTTTATAATTATAAAAGAACACTTACAGACCGACAGGTACTTAATTAGCAAAAAATATCAATTGGAATTATCTGATCTGGAGAGAGATCCTCCCGTTTGTCAAAACTAAGCCAGATTAGGCTTCTCTGACTGTTGATTTATGCAGATCCCCCTATTGAATATCAGGGGAGCACTGACTTGCTAATTATAGCATCCGAGAGATAGACTCTCAAAACCTGCAGCTGATCCTGGTAGCTGTATTTTTTACATGTTCATATGAAAGCATGATACATGGACATTGGGACTGCAAATGTAGGAGGTATTTCCCTTTAAAGTTAGAATTGTTACTAAGGTGTAAAGCGTGGGCGAGAAAACCTTTTAGCCTTTAGTGAACATAGGTGATGTGGGATTTTTGAGTCCTTGCAGAGGAGTGCATGATGGAGCTGCAGTGACTAGCTTTTTGGTTGTGTGGGTAGAGACTCAGTTACCTCTCTAAGAGGGTAGTTACTCTGGATGTATCTCCATGTGGCTCCTCGAGGGTGCTGACAAAATGAGTTGGGAAGGATCACTTTGTACTCGAAAGCAAAACTTAAAATGAAGATGACTTAGCATGAGTCTTTTTTGTTCGTTTGCGGTCGTGATGTACCATATTCCTGTAAATCCCACTTCTAGAAAATAAAATCACACTTTTCTGCTACTACTACTTTGAGCTTAACTTAATTAATAAAAACTAAGCAGAAGCAGAGCCTCCTCATATAACTAAGCCTATCCATCAGTTCATATATTTGTCCAGCCATCATGCTTTCCAGTATCATTTCTATTTAGAAAAAATACAAGTTTTCTGAGATCCTAAAAGTAAAGACTCTTTTAATCAAGCTTTTTGTTTGTCATTTTATTTAGTTTAAAATTGTTTTATAAACATTGAAAAATACAGTATTATTCAGAGAAATACCAGACATTAATAACTCCTTCTTGAATTCCTATAATTTAACAATAAAGCTATAATTCTTCTTAAAGTAAGATGATCCACAACCAGGGGCAGTGTTGTTTGATTTTCCTATGGTTAAATCAGTCTGTTTGAAATGTAACAACAGTGGGTTTTATTCAGCAGAGCCATTTTATTTGGATGAAAGTGGATGAAACCTCCATAAAATGTGTAAATGGTTGTAATAAACAAGACCTCTGTGGGATTCTGAAAAGCATTGTGACTGAAAAGCATTTATATGAGGCTACAATACGCAGGATCAGCTGAAAAGAGAGGAAAGGTTATTTGAAACGGGGGAACATTTCAATTTTCTATCATTATTGATGGGCTTTATTCTAAGAAAACTGGTTACAAAACAGAAGGTCAAAACACACATTGTATTCAAGCTAGAGATAGCTTAGAGGCCGTATAGCTTGAGGTCTTACAATTTATAGCTATTGTAAATTATGTTCAATAAAAATATCATTGGAAATTTGCCCACTCACATAATGCAAAAAAATACTAACATATAGTGAAGATGCTATGGCTTGAAATCGAACATTATCAGTTTAAAGTAGCATTACCTAAAAGTTATCAAAATGCCCTTTCTGCAAATCATCCTTCTGTCAATGCTTTTACAAGTTTGCATCCATCACAGTAAATCAAACACTGTAATATCGGTAGAGCTCCCTCAAAGCAATATTATTTACTACAGCAGCAGTCACAACCAAGCAAAAAAACTCATCACCTGCTTATGCAGTAAATTTTCTTCTGCTATTTTCACGCATCTTGCTGAATTAAATATGTTCTCCAGTGTTTGTGCCCCAAACTATGATTATCCAGAGTGGGAAAGGATGGTATTTGTTATCTCTCTGAACTGGAGAACAAGAACGAAAAAAGCATGAAATGAAGTAAATGGTCAGATAAAAGAAGCAACCATTAGAGAAAGCTGTCTGTAGGCAAACTGTCACAGATTCAACGGAAAACAAGATGTGACAGCTCTGTTCTTTATCTGTAAATGCTTTATTTGAAACGACTTACAGAACATTTTTCCTCGTTGGATCATATTACAATAAACATAAATCTATTTTGTATCTATACCATCCGGAGTATGGTGCATGGTTGGGGGCTAGAACTAATCCTGATTACCAGTATGTGAAAGAAGGGTTATCACAGTGGACAGGCTTTAGAGAGACATGTGCAAAAACACCCTCAGATCTAAGGGGATTACAGAGTGATAAGATTATCTAACATACAATGAGACAGTAAGAGGAAAATGGAGTTTATGTGACACCATGTTCCAAAAACATTACATGGATTGACAAGCCTATTTTCAGTTCACCTACTCATGAAACTCACATTTTCTCAGTACCTCTCTTTGGGCTATTGTTATAGACAAGACTAAGCCAAGTTTAAAACTTTGAAGGAGGTTAGGCCAAGTTGAAGACCAAGACAAAATCCATTTGTAGTAGCATCGAAGTAACTATGCTAAAAACAGTTGTTGCTGCAAACATTAAAATAATTATTTTCCCCTCTCAGCTCATTTCAAACCTAACCTTTATTAGGGATCCAACCTGACTGAGGGGTGCTGATGTACTTAACTATTTCTTATTGGTGCACCCTAACACCATGAGGGTAATCTCAAACAGTAACTTGTTAACTAAATGGCACTTGTGGTTTAAATTTTAGAATTGTATAACATGTTAAACAGATAAAAAGCATTTCTAAAAACTGCATCTACAGGTAAATGTTTACTGACTGCATACACTGAAGGCAACATGAGTAAAGGAGACCAATGGAGGTGGATGACTTAAAGGTATAATGGGAGATGTTTTTTTTTTTTTTCCAAATGGATTATCTAAATAAGTGGTCCTCCTAATTGTCAATCAATCTGGTGATATATTTACGTAAGGCCGTTCCACTTGCTCGTCCACACTTAGCAATTTTTTTCTGTGCATGCTCACCTTCAGGCGTATGTGTGGTGAGCCACGGTTGCAGACAGTCACTGAAGCTCACCTTTAAGACCGCTGTTCTTTGAAAATGGCGGGGGGTCATAAAAGAAAAAGTGTCTACGAAGTATATGAGAAGAAAAAAAAAAGGCCTCAGAAAAGGCAGATATATCCCAGAATGCTTTGTGCGGGGAGCTCTCCTCTCTAAGCATTATTGAATTTGCTGTCACAGCGGTCTGCTGTTGGCAAAGGCTGTCGCTAACTCACAGCGACGACTTATACGAAAGATGGCGCAGCGCGGTGGAAGCAAAATGGGAAGCAAAAAAGCGGTGATCATAAGTCTGAACGGTAAGTTAACTGAGTTTGCTATAAAGTCCACTATATAGACCCCGCTCTATATAGTGATTGAGGGAGTAAGGGGTTAGTGCGGAGGTTCGGACACAGAAAGCTTTTATGAGCTATGAGAACAGCAAATTTTAAATAGAGCGTGCATGAGGAGAAATTAGCTTGTGAATGCTCTCGCATGCATTTAATAGGCGTTCCATCTCGGGAGCAGGTACAGAGTTGTGGATGTGCACTTTTTTGGAGTAAATTGAAGCGGAGAGGGCAGGTCTTTAAAAAAATTAGCAAAAATCCCCCATTATACATTTAATCTCACCAGTCTTTATTTCTTTCTCTGTGTTGTAAAAACATAAACACAACAAAAAAACATGTATTTCCACTGTTTTTTAACATTTTTTTTCTCTCTCTGATCTTCTCATCCTCAGCACATAGGGGCTGCATTAAAATGACCGCAAAAGATGTATTGATCAAGATGCATAAGATGCATTTAAATTGTTTCAGAAGTTTATTGTTTTTTTTTTTTTACAAAGCTACAGTTGATTCTGGTCTCAGAGCAACCAAAAAACACCACACTACTACTCTAACCCATCTCTACCTCAGTAATATTTATTCCTCTCATAACATTTTCCTCACTCCTCTCTTTCATTACAATGCTTCCATCACTTTTTGTGACCTTTAGCATGTGGAGCACTATCAAGTGTGTCAGGTTTGTGAAGTGTCATCCAACCAGCTGAATATATTATTAGCATACAAAGCATACATTCATGTGATTTAACAGCAAATTCCTTTTAAATAACACTTATTATTATACAGTGGTTTATTGATTTTAAATGTGTTATTCCTCATAACCCATCTAACAGCCCCTTCTTTCAAAGGAAAATTACCCTATAAGCTATATCGTTAAGTTTTGTCAGGCCAGTCTGACCCCAAACTGATTTAGGATAAAAAATGTGCTGCCAACCTGGCATGATTCCCCTCAAATTGAAGACTTTTCTAACTTATTCCATCAGGAAAAAGCAAAATCACATCCTATATAAAGTCTTACCTGATATATCTAAATTATATGACACACGGTAGAAATTACTTGTGCTCAAGATGTGTTCTTAAAACAAAAAAATGTCCTGATTTTTTACCTCTGACAATATGTTTGTCCTTGGACATGTCTTGCGGCAATGCCTTATGGAGTTCTTAAGATGTGCTAAAAGGTTAATTTAGAAAACAAGTAAAAAAAAAAAAGCCTTTATTCTTTGGAAGTTGTCCTTGCTGAATTTCATTAGTCAAATAAAGTTTTAATAAAAAGAATGAGTAATGTTGGAATAGTGCTGTGTGTATTATTAAACCACAATGGGGGTTTATGTTCTTAGAGTTTAAACAAGATGTCAACCTCGTGCCAACATTTGCCTTGTTATTGTTCTACTACATGCAGTGTTATGCAGAATGTGTTCAAGTAGTGTTTTTATTCTGATACTTTAACAAAAAGCCTTTTCCAAAATATAAATTTCAAATAAACAGAAAATATTATGATCAAAATTGCACCGCACAATTGAACGGACTGGAAATTTGGTGCATTATTTTACAATGAGGGAGTCAGCCTGCATTGTGAATTTTTATTGTTATTTATTCACATTTATACACCCTGGCCTTTGACTGGGGGCGCTCACTCCAGCACCGCAGTCTTTCACCGTTGTACAGCTCATGCAAATGGTACAATGGAATATGAGAAGATGAAAGACCCGGAGAAGCTCTTTGAACACGTGCAAATGCTGGCTGCAGGGAACATAGGACTGATTCCAAACTGTTATTCAAGCTTTTATCGTGTTATGAAATGCAAACAAGCATGGGGTGTGCCCTTGGAAATGTGAACAATTAAACAATAATTTTTCACAGATATCTGAAAAACTACAGTGATATTGAATTTGGATTTAATTAATGAAAGATTCCTTTTTGTTTTTAGTGACAAGCGGTTCTCAGCTCTGGGCTTTGGTGCCAGAATTCCACCAAATTATGAGGTGAGTTTTTTTTTTTTTTTAACCCCTTATTCCACCCTTACCTCTCTTAACATGAGCAGTGTTTGTATAACATATGCACATTCTGTGGTCATTTTGAAGTTTGGTCATTTGCTGCACCTTCAGACTGTATGTTCACCAAGATGACATCCATGACCTACTTCATGATACGAGTTGTCACTTCATCAAAATTTCACATTTAAAACTAATTAGGGAGTGTATTTTATTCATGAACCACTTGTTTTAAAATACCAATCTGTCCTGGGAATAAAAAATCCTGTTCTTATAAAGCTGAAGTTACACGTTATCGATGGCCAATTTAAACATGAATTCACAACGTGAGAGCATTTGTTTAAGAAAATTGCCCTTTAATAACAGAAAGCTGTTTGCAACTCCAATTAGCACCCTGGGGAGAAATCCTAACTGTGAGGAATAACTGTGCATGAGTTTGTGCAAAAACACAAACACACAGATGAAACACTTAAACAGTAAACATATCAAACAAGGCTGGCCTATGTTTAAAGCAAAACTGCAAAGTGATGTGCACTTAATCATTTCAGTCATGCAAACATTTGGCTCACAGCAAATGGAAACACAGTTTCTGAATTTAACACAACAGTCATGCCTTGTAGGAGTCGTGTTTGTCAGACTGCATGCTGTTGACACATCGAGGTTGCTGGTGCCGTTGAATGTTAATTAAGTCATTACACTAATCACAAACTTCTCTCTGAACTTGAGCTTTGTGTGCATTAAGTTTGCAGGTTTGATGAATCCGGCTTCAAATGGCTTTGATATTCTTATTGTTGTTCATATGTGCCACAACCACGTGTGGAAAACAGCTCTGTGAGAAGAGTATGTAATGTTCCTCAACATTAATATTAGCACCTTAAAGTTCTTATGCATACGTCAGGAAAATGATAGGGGTTGGATTCATTTTTATGACCACCTAATCTCATCAATCCTTGCAGTTAAGCATCTTCAGTTGAAGGAACTTTAATTATCCCTGATTTGAAAACTTGAAGGTTTGGCCTCCTTGAAGGAATTCCCATAGGTTAACTTTTCTTCACAAGGCATTTCATGGACTGCTCGGGACTATATATTTTCTTTAATTGCACTGAGAAATTACTACTTGTTTACCTTTCGTTCACATAATTTACTGCATCTTTAGGTCCCTTTTGGCCAGAATGAAATAGGCAGGAAGGCCTTTGTTCACTCAGCTCCCTCCTCTTGGAACGTGCATCACAAAACTTTAGAATTAAGTAAACTTATCTCACTGTGTGCTTTTACTTTCAAACTAAACGTTCTTCAAATCCACCCACTCTTCCTAATTTGCTGTTTTTCGTTTTGCAACTTTTCGTTTCATTTGTTGCCCCCCTTCAACCTAGACTCCAATGTCAATGGGACCAAGATGGCTAAATAAAGAGTGAATAAAAAAGTAAAGCTACACCCTCAGGTACACCAATATTGACAATAATTAACTTAAAAGAGTTTCTCTTTGCAAAAACAAATAAACTAATCAAAAGCAGATTTCCGAATTTTTCAAGCAATAGCTTCTGGCATGGACGTAAGTTGGGGGGTACTTTTTCAAAAGTCTGTTTTGGTCCTGTGCACTTTTTATGGTAAAAAAAACAAACAAAAACAAAACAAAAGAAAAAACAATGTTCTGCTACAGTATACCGATACTCGTCAAGTACTAGGACAAAGCGGAAAGCCACAGCTCAAGCTGAAGCCCGCTTCCCTGGGTTTAGTCCGCCCACAAGCTCCTGATTGAACCTCCATCTTTTCCTGTGTGATTGGCTGTTTGCGCTGTCACTCTCCAAAAGCCCACTTTACAAACATCTGATCGGGTCTTTGAAAGGTCTTGTAGAAAAATGTGGCTCTGCAAAAGACCACAGTTGGTGAGGGAATCTACTACTGTAAATTAGGCATTTTTCTTCTTTTGGGTCACGTAATCTAGAAGGGTTGTAATATCAGGTGGATTAATTTACACAAATCTGAATTGGTGTCATGTGAGTGTGTTTGGTTAAAATGCTTAATGGCATATACTTATATAGCACCTTTTTAAGTCAGGAGGCTTCAAAGTGCTTACACAACATTCAGTCATTCACCCATTCTTTCACACGCTCACACACTGATGGTGGCAAGCTACATTGTAGCCACAGCTGCCATGGTGCTCACTGACAGAAGCGAGGCTGCCGTACACTGGCGTCACGGGGTCCTCTGACCACCATCAGTAGGCAATGCAAGTGAAGTGTCTTGCCCAAGGACATAACAACAATGAAAACCAGAGGGCTTGAACCATCAACCCTTTGATTTCAGGGCAAACTCCTACATCCAACACTACTGCTGTTATTAGACTCGCAGTCAGAAGGTCTGAAAAAAGTTAGAGAGACATAAGAGTCTTCTTTAAAAGACAAAGTGTAAGTTACTTTCAAAGAACTGTGTAACAGCACAAACTCCTTCAACGGCTCCATAAATTAACATATCCACTTCAAGATCCTCCTCCACATTTTCAATAATATATTTATTTATTTGTATATTTGTTTAATTAAAAGTGCTGATACATCAAATGTATTATTGCTATATATTATCATAAAAAAATGAAATAAATGCAATATATGGATGTGATTTTATATATCCAAGCTCATAATAAATTTAAAACTATGTTTTAATCCACATGGATTGTTGCACCCCAAATTGTCCAGTTGTTCATGTCATGCATCCATATATTGTGTCAGGAGAGGGGTTGCAGACATGCAAGAGAAAGAGGAGGAGACAAACATTACAAGAAAAACACTCTTAGCTTTTATATAGTATTTATACTAAGAATTACTTCTGTCCCGCCCATATATATATATATATATATATATATATATATATATATATATATATATATATATATATA